ATCACAGTGCGGAAAAGTTCATCTTACGGATGTAAGACATTTTATTTTTGGTGCTACATTAAAAGGTTCTATAGACCGAAAATCAGTGACCTATAACACTTGTGATAATTTTGTTTAAAAACATCAAGAGAGTCTCCTGTCAATTGTAACGCCACCAAATCAACACTGTTTCGAATTCAATCAAATTCTGTTCCGTTTTTTTTTCTATTGAAATGAATAAAACTGGAAATACGTGCGATTCGGTCGAGTTTTTGGATTAGCTTATCGTAAATCCTCATTTATTTTAATTCTTATTTATTATGGAAGAAATGTTATGGAAATACCAAAAATGTATGTCACTTAGAGAACATTGAATTAAAAAAAAAAAAATATGTAATATAAATCACTTAAACATTCAACTCGATCTGAGCATATTTCAGGATTTTATTCAACGTTGTCTATTCGAATGGTGGTATGTCTTTTATCATAATGATAACATAAAGCGTGAATAAATTTGCTGCTAGTGGAGATAGCCTATCTCAGATAGGTTACCTTGACTAATGTGCCATTTATTTGTTTTCGAGAGCAATAACATGATGTGATGTTGAAAGCAAACACAATCATATTATCTATTTGAGCGCCAACTTCGAATTTTGTTTACCGTTGAGAGAATATTGTCGCCATGCGAGCACGTGATTAAATTTCCCAATAGACTAAATCAACCCAATGAAGATTTAGCTTTGAAGTATACAAAAGCATATTTTCTTCTTGGAGAACGTAAATAATAGAAAATAAATAAAATGATTCAATTTGGCAGGCCTTTTTGCACTCCCTCAAAAATGGCCGTTAATGTCATTGCTTCGTTTGAAATGCAAAGCACGACACTTACTACAACATTATACATTATCATTAGATATTTCTGTTACACACAAAGAGGTACGAACATGAAAGAGTCGCGCTTCAAAAGGAAAGTGTGCTGATATTTTCGGCACTGGGCTTTAAAATTATCAAGAAAGTTCGTTGAATCTCTAATGATTTTCACCCCCTACGAAAATTCGGATGCGTCATATTTATTTGCGAACGTTGAATAAATGTAGCGAAAAATAGCAAACTTTATGAGAAAATTATAGTCTCAAAACAAGAAAATTAATAAACAAACTTGAACGTTTATTGTGTATTTGAGTGTATTTTTATAGATACTTGTTCTTCAATTTGGACTTTTCATAATTTCTGCCACATTGACTTTATTTGTGGTAATTTCCAGAAGCAACTCATATTCTGAAGCTTTGCGAAACATCAATGAAGTTGAGTGCCTATTGATGGCGCTGAATTACTTTTATATGCGAGAGAATATTGTAACAAAAGTCGATCGATCTTGTTGGGAATCTCACAAATATCCAGCCATACTTGTTTAATACCCAAGTAAATAATGGAGAATCAAATCAAAAACAGACGACTATAAATAAATTTATGAGGTTTTCAAAGTGGTCGACCGTTTTGATTGTGTGCGTAGTTGTTGGGTACCACCGATTGCTTTTGTTTCGTATTTAATTCAATATTTTTTTTCTTCGACACTCTTGCACGATTCGATTTTCCCAGTTCGCTTCATCAAACGAAATCGAAAATCTGTGTTCTTGCTGTGCGATGGAAACGTGAAAAATTTATTTCCATTTCAGCATTTCTTGTTTTTCTTTTGCATTGGTTCTTTTGATCAAAGTTATTCGTTTGTTTTGAGTGACTGCCGCAATCGAAAACGGATGACCTGCAAATGGAAACAATGTGGAAATACAATAAAAACACCGAAAAACGGCAAACGACAAAGTGAAAGGAAACGAAAATAAATTGAATAAATTTTCTTTCGATTTTCGTTTCGAGCAGCATAGAAAAAGAAAACTACTTCCGCAAGCTCACAGTTGGTTTAATCCTCCATGATTTCAGTCCCAATTCATTTGGAGGGGGCGAATACGAATGGGCAAATAAATGTTCTTTTTTTCCATATTATTAAATCTGTTCGTCATTGCGAATGTACTTATATGCCATTAATATATATAGTTCGTTTGATTTTGGTCTTGTGTATGTGAACTATGGGTAACATAGTGATGTTTTTTATATGTTATTCAGCAGATTCATATAATTTTTGCACTCTTAATGGAGGCGACATTTCATGCTAATTCAATTCATGCTCATGCCAGCATTGGCTGGAAAAATGACACCAATGATCTCAAGTGTGCGTAAATGCCAGGCACACAAAAACAAATGTGATCTCACACACAGTTGGCAGATAGTAATTAAAACGGCGCTTCTCTCTCCTTTTTGTTTTACGTCACCAAGTCAAGTAAGCTCACAGGAAACGAACAAACTTAGTGCGCTCCTTATCCTCCTTTATTCGCTCTGTGAATGTTGTTTGCAAAATTTCGTGGTATTTCTTTCTCTCTCTTGCTCGCTCTATTCCATTTTTTCCTCTTCTCTCTTGTCTCTCAGCCTTTTAAACATGCGGTTTGATATATATATAAAATGAAATGAAGTTTCTACGGTGAACTATTTACACGCCAACAACAATAACCACTCTTTGACAATTCCTGCGGTTCGCATAGTTTGTGTAGTTATTAAAGTAATTAAACTTTAAAGGGAAAACCAACGAGTTTTGACATAACAACTGTCTGTGAGACAACCAACCGGACGACATGCAATCAAAATTAGTCTCGGGAGACAATTTCACCTCTACGCTCTACCGAAAATGAGTTGGACTATTTTTCGACTTTTGTTAAAGATATCTCGTTAGATAACGTATAAAAGATACGAAGTGCGGGTCGTAGCCTTATATTGGCTTCAGGCGCCGAATTAAGTTTAAACCATTAATAATAATAATAATAAATAGTTCATATGAGTCCTACCGAAGCGGCAAACGCCAACCACTTTCTCGTGCAAACTAAATTGCGATTTTTAAATTTGTATGACATAAAGGCGAACTAGTTCACTTATGACTTCAGCAATAATCAGAGCACAAAGAAATAGAAGCTGCCGAAATACATTTTATTTGAAAGGCCAATCTGTCGAGTAGAGAAACCATTAATGGAAAATGTGGTTAGAATTGGGTGGATTTTGTTGGTTAGGAGAGCAAAAGAGGTGTTGGAATTAATCCGCAATGATGATATTTTGTTCGACGAATAATAAAATTATGTTTTCCGGAAAGTACTTGTTTTAACAGCAGATCGGATTAACGAAACGCTTCGCTTAACAGAACATTTCCTGGAAACCAACTAATCAACACACCAGAACTCTGAATTTTGAAACCAAACACGATTTTTTTTTTCATAATAAAACGAATAGTATCGTTCCACACGGAAAATCTGATTATTTTATGCACTCAAACAAATATATGGAAACCTGATATAAAACACTATTAAAAGCTATCACAAAAACTGAAACGGAATATGGATGTGGATGTTAAGTGCAGTGGAAATGCTTGTAGTCAGGATATGCTTTGATATGTTTGTTTTTCACAGTTTTTTTTTCATTTACCGTGTGTCTCTGGTTTACTGTAAGTCAAAAATGCCTCCGGCGAAGCAATTCCAAATATGCTTGTGCATCACGTATATGTGTGGTGGTTGACTGGTATAATCAGTTGATGGATCCTTTTAAACCTTTCACATGTGTTCGTTCTGTCATAATAAGCTTTCGTTGGTTTTGTGTGAGTTGGTAACTAAATCATAATGCAAGCATACAGAAACAGAAATGGAAGCAAAACACATTATTTTGTGGTAGTCTATTTTCGATGATGATTTCTGTCATCTGATGTCACGTTCTATTCAAGCCCAGAAACGAATACTTTTTCATGGTGATTTTTTATTTAATTATGTCATTTTTTTCTTTCTCTCTTTCTCTCTCACTCAGCTTGCAACGCATTCAATATGGTAGTAAATCTTTCTTATTTGATACTTTGTGTTACTTAACTCTTATTCTTTTCGAATGCATGCAGGTTTCATTCTCTTTTGTGTGCAATTCAATTGAATTTGGATGAGTCCTTTGTGTGCGAATATTATGGTGCACATATGCATGTATTGCGTAACAAATGTGTGTCTGCGCCGCCTCAAAACACATTTCAATTGAATTGAATTGAATAAACAATGGCCGGTAGAATTGATTCTTCCTTTTTCGATGTGTGTAATTAAGACTGGATTCTAATTCCATATATGACAAATTCAATTTGAACACAAATCAAACAGAGCCTGCCTGACGCTCAGAGAGTATACATACAACTCACCGATAATTAATTAACGTACTAGGGCATTACTTAAGCGTTGCTTGGTTGCTACTTATTTGTTGAACTTAATTGATGATAAGTGCTCACCGAGCGTATTAGACTAATGACATTATACGCCTTTAACTTTTCTCTGTATCATTTTCCGATTTCAGTTGAACGAAATGTATTTATATTGGGATGCATTAGATTCGTCCTACTTAATACAGGCTAATCCATTTTGAAAAGGACACAGCTTTGAATCGAACCTGAATATTACTATCAGAAAATTGATGTCCTTTCCATTCAACCGAAGGAATATTTGTTCATCGATAAATTCCAAAAGTATACATGTGATATGACATTTTTCTCGAAAGTGGAAAATAAACCTTTTTTGTTTGCATTTGATTTTAGAGAATTAAATCCGAACCTAAACAAATAGCAACGGTTTCAATAAGCCTATTTTTTCATATTGTTTCGAAAATGTGTGGGTTGCACTTCGGTTTATATGAGTTTTGTTCTCATGAAACTGACATTTTTGTCTAATTTAGATGTTTCAAATTGAATTTTAAATGTAATAAAATGAAATTGTATTTTCATAAATATCAAGAATGGTAAAAGATCGCATTTGATCGAATGTCTTACAATGTCATTCATCGAATTTCCCTTTAAATAGAAGAGAAAAGTGCTAAAACAAACAAATGACGGTAAAACCAGAAAAAAATTGAATAAAATTAACCAAATATTTGTTTTCTTTTTTTTTGCCATTTTATTTCAACAGAATGACATGCACGTGAACTATAACGCAAAGAGTCATCCGAGCATTGAATGAAATTCGACCGCCGCCGAACCAGTAGAAAAAGTCGAACGTATTAAACAAACAACGAATAATACGGAATCCAGGCAGAAAAATTGAACGAATTTACGACGAAAAGGAACCAACAGTCAAAATACACACATACAAAAATCGCAGAAATTACGGACCGAAATAACAAAAAAAAAAAACGAGCAAACAAACATGAAAAATGAATATTGCCAGTTTTGACAAAATGACTGAAGTGATTATACGCTGTGGTTAGGTTAGTTGATGTGCGCCAAGAACAAGTATTCAACTATTGCAATTTGCATGACATTCTAATTCATAAAACGATTTACTTTTCTTTTATGCGTTCCCTTTTTTCGCCAACGAATCCATAGACCGAATCTCATTTATAGAAATATGAAAACATTTATTTAGTTAAGTGAATTGTGTCTAAATTTCTTTATCTGCAATTTTTCAACGTCGAATGAGAGTCCCGTGTCTTTAAATAGAGTACATGTCTTTTTTTTCGATTGAGAACTTTTGGTAAAAACTATATTTAACCGCATACATTATATTTCTGCTATAAAGTATTCATTCGTGACCTTCTTTTTTCTTGGGTTTCGGCGATTGGCACGAAAGATATTTCACTACGAAATTGGTTGGTTTATTTACATAGACAATTTTCATTTTTACTCTTGATGAACGGTCGACAAGAAAATTAGGTATTTTATTTTTTTGTGAAAACGGCTGTAACAAGAGCGCCAACAACAATTTACGCATCGAAAACGTTTTAATAGTGACAGTGATAAGGGATAAAAACCTGATACAGGACCGACAGTGTACACGATTTTTTTGCGAGTCTCTATGTGTGTGTATATATTTTTGCGACATCGATGACGACGATTCATTGTTTCCCATGTTTGAAATTGAAATTGGTAGAATGAAACGTGAATACCGACAAAAAAAACTCCCAAACAATTCGAATCACATCGTGAAAAAGTATAATTGATCGAGTGAAATATAGAACGGTTTTGTTGCTGCCATTGTCTGCGATAAATATTTAAAAAGAAACAACCGTTGTGTGTAACTCTGTGTTACCCATGAGAATACAACAACGAAACTAAAACAGCATAGACATTGAAATCGAACTAATTGCAAAGAGACAAATTTCGTGTCACTAGGCAAGCATCAATTGAGCGTTGCATCGGTACGCGCTTTAATATTTACGAATAATTTCGCATCGAATTGTGCGTTTTGTTGCGTCTTCGAACGACGTGTTCGTGTCAAAAACATGTACAAAACCATCATCATGAACGTGTTCTACCTTGAAGGATTTATTTATTTATGGATGTTCGCATCATTTCTAACGGGTAAGTTGAAATCTCTCTTTTGTGTGCCATCACATTTGTTCGAATTTTGTGATAATTTTATCATCGGAAAAGAGGAAAATCCGATACATACACTATTTGGATTATGAACGGAAAAGGACAGAGGGTCGTTTTATTGGGGCACGTGCTGCCAAACAGTACCGTGCTAACTCAAATATCGGCACGCAAACAAACAAGAAACAACTCAACAAATTATATTTGTTCAAATTTTATGCTCGTACGCGTGTATCTAATGTAGTTTTGTGCGGGTCAAGTGATCACGCTCCACTGAATGTATCGCTTCTTTTTTTTATGTCAAATAAAATCAGACGGAACAAGAAATTGAAATTACTTTACGTTAAAACAATGCGCTATCCCAATATTGATTTAATTTTATCTATACGATCAATGGGATTGGAGTATTTTTTTATTAAATTATGTTGTTGAGGTTACGGAAGAACTGTTGCGTATAAAACAAAAGGTATTTTTTTCATTACTCACCTAACGGAGTTTTATGCTTCCTTTTATCAATTCATTGATTTTATTCCCTGTTTTATTCACTTGCGGTCAATAGTATTTCACTTTTACCTTTACATTGGATCGCGAACCGTTTTTCGAGGACACCTTTAACAAACAAACTTTTTTACGTTCAAGACTTTGGTGACCGTAATAAATTTTATGAACGATGGGAGTGCCGCACTTACAATCATTATTTTTGACGTGAAAAATGTACTTTTGATTTTCAGGGAATTGAATGTTCATTAACGATCAAACAAAGAATATATTAAAATGAAATATTTTCCTTTTTATAATTATATCCGTTACTATGATAACCAATAACTATGTAAAAATGTGTTATTGATTATTAATTATAACTATTTCTACATAAATACATACAAGTTAAATGGGTACTTCATTTTGTTGGTATAAAATAACCATTCTCTCTACACACCACTCTATCAAATATATATTTAGATAGCAAGGCCAATTAACAACATTCAATAATTTCTTGTCTATGTGAAAAAAATAGTATTTTGGTTGGCCTTAGCGCATTCAACTCGAATATATCGAGAACCAAGCTGTTCATTTATATAACGATAATTAGACGCGATGTGAATTCAATTGCTGCATTCATATTAGCTAGTAAATTGTATCATTTAACAAGTCTGAAGAATGGCAATTATTTCTCAGCAGTAAATTTCGGCGGGATATTTTTTTATTTTAAAGTAGTAGTTATTGTTATCGAAATTGAATCTTTTAGCGATTGTATTGATTCGGTAGATACTGGTGAATGTGTGGAAAACCTTTGTTTTGTGGATAAAATCGCACAAATCATCATCTGATAAAGAGATTCAGTCGTGTGAATAAGGTCGATTGTGTGATTTGTTATGTCTGCCGGGACGAGAAGAATCGTGCAAATAACAAAGGATTTAATATGATTCGCAAAGACGAACACTTTGCCATGTACCACACTCGCACATTGTCACCACGTATAACCTCACGTATGCGCTCCCTTCTGTCTATCTATTGTGTATGTATAGTGTATAGTTCAGTATTAATGCAATAAATCACCCGGTGGAATACCTGCAACAAATGGCTCGATGAGACACCATAGACAATAGCGATAATATTGTCGTCGTCGTCGTCGTCGTTGTTAACCCCGACGGTGGCGACAACTCCGTTTCGTAATCCGAGAAACAAGCGTGCTGCAAAATTAGATTTTTGTCGGTAGCATGAGCGTCGGGGTTTTTGCATCAACAAAAAACCACACTGATTCGCTTTCACAATTGTATTTTTGAAACCTTTTGTCTTCTGGCCAAAACGGCTAAGACGTGCTCATTGCTCGCGATACGTCTACGAGCGGATCTTTGAAATTCTCAGCACTCTTAATGCAAAACCACAAAAGAACTTTTGGCGCTCATAATAAATAATAAGCATCAAGCATAAACTCGAATTGTCTGTCGTTTTTTTTGTTCGCTCTGAATATGCCCAGCCAGCCATCCAGCATCGAAACGCTCTTAGCGAAATTACACCGAATCAATCAATTTGCAATGCATACTTGCTCAGGCAACTTGATATCACAAAATGTCAATTCGAATAAAATCCAAAGTAAATGCCATTTATTAAATGATACTAAACAGTGTGCTAAGCAAATTCATTGCAAATTTATCGAAAACAGTTTGCATTAACGACACTTTCTTTTCATGAAAAGAAAACAGAAAATCAACTTCGTTGGAATCACTATTCAATCATTAAGTTTGTCTTCAATTTCCTCTCTGCTCTTCCGGCTTCCATCACTTTTGGTGTTCGCATTTTACTGCAAAATAATATTCTTGATAACTTCCACTAATGATTTTCAAACAAAGTAACGGCACCACCACCACACACTGTAAATATTTGAGCTATGTGAAGACAAAAGAAATGATGGTATTTTTCGCATTAAGCTCATAGTTTGTGCATTTATTTTGATGAGTCGATACATCGTATGTCATCTGTTGTCTAACGATCGGCTCGGACTCGGTTCGGTTCTGTTGAAAGATTTATTGCATTATCGAAACGCCTGTTTATTATAACGAGATCAGTAACACAAACACTACTTTTTTAACATCGATTACTATACAAAGTCGGTGTGTGTTGCCAGCATCAGAAACAATGGTATTGCAACCACAGCCATTGGTTTTGTGTTTAGGTATTTTGCACAAAATCCTGTTTTATTTCCACTCGCTGACACCATTGAAAAAGAAAAAGTTTTTCAAGAAAATCGCTAAAGTTTCTCCGCATCCAACGAAATAAACCAAATACGGCAAAAATTGTATCAGCACGGAGCCAGTTTTCTGACCAAAGCAAAAATAACACATGAAACGAATTGTGTCAAACAAAACAAAACAAAAGAAAAGAAATGAAAAGAAAAGCGAAGGCTACATAAGAGAATTACGATACGATAAAATTTATAAACAACAAAACTTTAAGTACATTTCCTGGAAAAATAAATTTGATGATGATGATAACTTCTATCAACGAGACGAAACCATATTATGGTCCATATTGTTTCTATCTGTCTTGATGAACATGAAAAATATGGCAAAAAGTGAGAAACGCAATCTACGAAAAAAAAAATGCGAGCGGCTAGCACAACTAAAAACAGAAGCTGCTTGATTTTCCAGCTGTTTCCAGTGGGGAGTTGTGTGCATTTTTATTATGTGCTGAAGAACATGGTCTACTGTAATGAAGATGAAAAACTGAGGCTAGCGAGTTATTCAACGATGATTGCTGCCATTGCCGCTGCTACTTTTTGCACTTTTCTTCCATCACACTCGCCCAATGACAGTTTTTATTAAGTTGTATTGTATAATGTTGAAATAAAGTTGAAAATGTTCATCATTGAATGCTCGCACACTTATTATGGTGGTGATCGATTCCCGTCATCTTGCCATACCGAAAAAAGGCGGAGAAAACGCATTTGAACATCAAAGTTACATTAATTTTGAAGAGATGAAAATTGTTCGGTACTTTTGATTCTTCGGTTTTCATCTTATTTTCGATTCGTTATGAGCTCAATTCAATGTTCGCATATTTTCCTTCTCAATTCCATCGAAAAAAGACAGTCATTATTATAAAGAGCTTAAGTTTTTACATCTCTTGCACTTAAACTTTTCACTTGGATTTCTATTTTCCACAAATGGTCTTGGAAATTTTCTTGACCTCATTATGTAACACTGTATGTGTGTGCGCATTGTGCACTCTGGTATATACACAGAGAATACATATAAAAGAGCTGTGTGCAAATGTGCAAATGTGCAAATTGCTCAAAACTTACGATAAACAAAGTTTCATCCGATTGCTTTTACCGAAGCATAACCGAAACGAAAACTCAAGCTGCTTTATGCTGCAGACAACACACAGAGATACATACACAGCGAGAAACATAAAACTCGTAAAGTAACAAACAGATAGACAAATAAAATTGAAACTGAAAGAGTTGATTTTGTTATGGCTGGGATCAAAAGTATACTTTTCGGTCATTTTTATGACAAGCTATGTACTGTTGGCGGATTGATGAGTTTTCATCATTTGATGTTCGCCTTCACGTTGCTCGTTTTGTAGCTCTATTTTGCCGAGGCGTGTTATTTTTTGTTTCGTTCATCTTTATCTCAGCTTTACTTCCGCCATTGTTTCGACAATTCATGGTAATGTGTCATTCGCCAGAAACTTTTTTGATGAGATTGAAAGCGAAAAAAAAAACTTTATTTCTATGATTCAAAAGTTCATTTTGCTTGGAATGAGTGACATAAATAATCCAAACATATCGCCAGATGCTGTGTGATGTTGTGCAGTTGAAATTTAATTTTCTGGCAAAACTTGAGTTTGGCATTTTAAACAAAAAGAATTTTAGCAAAATAAAACGTATTGTTTGTGTGGTTGAAATGCAACAAAAGAAAATATTGTGTCGCACACAGAATTGATTGAATTTTTCTTTGAAAACAACCTCGCAGCATGAACGATAAAATCTTATTATATTGAAATACATAAATTGAGAGAGATAGTGAATTGCAGCATTGACTTGGGCTCGTTGAATTAGACACAGGCGAATTGACCGAAACCGACCGTACTGGAACGAAATATGTTGTACAGACACCCGCATAAAAACGATTGTATATATAGTGGCAAAATGTGAAAGTATCGCAAATACCTAGTGCTTAATCATGATTATTACTTCGAACATTAAGTAAAACGCGTTCGATTGCCTTCTTTGCGTGTTACCATTTCGTTCAATTTACAGTACGTAAAAAAATCTATCGAAGCTATTTAAAAGTCCCATTTTTTTTTTCAAATTACCATTAAACGTTTAAGATGATAGGAGATTGCTTCTGAGATCGATAAATGTTCAACGGCAAAAAAAATATCGATTGTTTTAATTAAACGTGATTTCATCACGTGTTGTTAAAACTCGAGCATGTAGCGAAATTGAAAATAGCCATCGCAGTCAGGGCGCTGCTCGCATA